GAAGGGGGGACGCGCGGCCCTCGGAGCGCCTCGACGGGCGACGGGATGGGGGGGGACACGCGGCCCCCGTGACGCCACGACGGGCGACGGGAGAGGGCGCCACGACGGGCGACGAAACCGCCGCGTGCGCCCGGGGCGCACGGCCAGCAGAACAGTAGCAGCAGAAGCATAAGGTGGGTCCACAGGCCAAGAGTGTAACAACTCTGATTCCATGTCAGAAGAGTAGCTAGAACGAGGAGCCATGGCTAGGGTTTAGCTAGATAGGCAAGAGAAAATAAGGAAAGGAGGAGGTTCACTAGCAAGCAGGAGGATACATATAGGAAACCCTAAGAGGTCGTACTCACTACAGAGTACCCCAGTGCAGGCTAGACAAGCATTATAATCTGACAGCGACACCTGAGTGCTTGTCGACCGTGCAACAGTCAAGGAAACAAGGATTCTCTCCGGAAAATGGGTCTTTCGTGTGAAGACCGCATCTAACGGCACGATCGAACGGTTCAAGACGCACTGGGTCATACGTGGCTACGACTAGAGGCACTGGATCGACTTCGATCAAACGTTTGCGCCGGTGAGCCGTCACACCTCCGTCAGAATTCTCCTCGCCATCGACCCGGATCAACCGCCCCAGCCGGGTGAGGGACCGGTTCGACCCGGTAGGGAGCCGGATCAACCGGGTCGGAACCGGGTAGGGAACCGGATGGGGAACCAAATCTACCGAACCGGCCGGATCGACCGGGTGGGGATCCGGGTCAACCGGACTTGGAACCGGATGGACCGGACCGGATGGGGAACCGGATCTACCGGAAGGGCTCAAGGGAGGGTGTGGCCCCGTCCAATGAACCACCCCCACCCTAGAGCCCACAATGAATCGGACCCCTCTCATCCATGGTGGTCCGGTCCGGATCCATCCCATCCAGGGCGGTTCGGACCGGACCCATCCCACCCGCGATGTTTCGAACCGGACCAATCTCTATTATTTGGGTCACACTTCCATTCTCGACCGTGGTTCTTCGTGGGCTCTAGGGTGGGTGTGGGTCCTTGCACGGGCCCACACCCTCCCTAGAGCCCTTTACTCTATGGGTCGCACCTTCCTTCTCGGTTGGTTGTGGTTCGTGGGCTTTAGGGTGACCAGGGGGGAAACGTAGACCAGGGCGGGGGCAGGCTCTCTACGGGTTCCTATCCACCCCAAGTGTCCTTTTGACCGGCTGGAATGAGATGCACACTCCAATCAACCGGGGGGGTTCGGGCCCAAGGGGACTTACGGGTTTGTCAGCTGCGGAAATCCCTGTACGGGATTAAACAGGTGCCGAGGCTCTGGCAGCCGTACCTGCACAACATCCTGCTTGAAATTGGGTTCAAGCAGTTGCCTCACGACCCTTGGATGTATCGCCGCGATTTCCATGGCGAATACATCTTACTCACGGTCTACGTCGATGACCTTCTCTACACAGGGTCATGCAACCAGCTACTCGAGTAGTTCGAGAAGAACCTCGCGGGCTGCGTCGACATTACATGCAACCACGACGTGAAGCAGCTCCTCGGGCTTAACATCTCCTACTCGCCGGAAGCCATTCCTCTCTCAGCAGCAAAGTACTCTGAGGAACTTGGCAAGCGGTTCAACATACCACCTGCATCGCTCTCCACCCCTTACCGCACTCCAGGACCCAACCACAAACCTGACAACAAAACCCTGTCCCCTGCTGGGCTCCAGACTTATCAGCAGCAATTGGGATGTCTTCTCTTCGCCTCTGTCACCTGCAGGCCAAACCTCTCGTACATCGCGCGTCAGCTGGCCCAATACTCACGCAAACCAACGGCCAAAAACCTCTCTGATCTTCAGCGGGCGCTTCAATTCTTCATTTCCACGCCTAATGTCGGGCTCTGCTACTCCACCATCCCAACCTCATCGTTCAACCTCATCGGCTACGTGGACACCAAACATGCTACTGACCCCGACAATCGACGGTCCAGGACAGGCTTCCTTTTCCGCCTCGAACCCAGCGGCCCCATCTTCTGGAATTCACAGAAGCAGGAGCTGGTTGCCCTGTCATCAGCGGAAGCTGAGTTCATCGAAGCAACAACAGCTGTTCGCGAAGGTCTCTATCTTCAGGACCTGCTACTGGAGGCAAAAATTCCAGCCTCGGCAAACTTTCGCCTTCACTGCGACAACCAGAGCGCGATCAGAATCACGAACAAGCCGGGATTCGTCAACCGCACCAAGCACATCGCGGTGCGGTACTTCTTTGTCAAAGACCAAGTTGACAAAGGCAAGGTTGACCTGACCTACTGCCCGACGAGTGACATGGCAGCTGACTTTCTGACGAAGAAACTGCTGCGTCAGCAGTATCAACACTACTCCGAACTCAGCAGAATAGTCAAACGAGTCAAGAGTTGCTATGGCCACTAGTGAAGAGGGGTGTTACAAATAGTGGCCGTAGCAATCGTAGCATGCAGTATCGAGGCTGAAGTCAAAAGGGCGGAAATGACACGAAGGGTCACACGGTTACGAAAGCATCGGGACCGTCGGGCAGACAGCATCGGGCAGCAGCAGTGGCGAGGATTCTGCCCATACAGTTTTGTAACTGTCCGGAGTCGCACGGTTGGAATTCGCTGTAATAAGGGAATGTACCCCTTAGAGTACATGGCTAGCTAGGTCGTTTCGCATTCTCCTATACTCTTACTTATAGTGTTGTATTTGCATGTTTTTATTATCTCAATCATTTACATTCACTCTGCTATTGAGGTCAAGGGCCCACCACCACAAATCAGTAGTGTGCGAACCTTCCCGAGGTGATCCTAGGCAAGATCAACATTTGATCGCAACAATAACGAACAATGTTTAGGACCATTAGTATAATAACCCCTGGCCTTGTTCTACAGGCGCATCTAGCCACATCAGGCCGCATCAATGTATATTGATGCAATTTCCCCAGGTTCCAGGATTCTTCCTTGATAACTTGCCGATAGGTTATCAAGGCTCGCGATAAGCGCATCGGAGCCGAGGCAGACCAACCCAGAATGCCTACAGAACGGCCTTTTTGGTGACAAAAAATTCCAATGTAGCCACGTTCTCGGATGTTTCTCGTCCTAGCAATCGGACGCATTTGAAATGCGCGCATCGTGGCCCGGTTCGGCAACCACGGAAGGACGGAAGAAATTTTTGACGCACCTTCTTACAAGCTTCTATTCGCATTATCGAGGGCTATACAGTGCGGGTTGTAGGGTAAAATTTTCGGAAACCGAGGCGCAGGTGTTTAACAGCAGCGACGCGAACACCACCTAAAATTGATTCCGTGCCGTCTTCTGTCCTTATTCTCCCCCCCCCCCCCCCCCCCGCCCCTAGCGGAAAGCTTCCGCCCTAGTGAGACGGAAGAAAAAAATGATTCTCTCAAAAAACAAGAATCAACTTTTTTATTCCACAAGAATCACTGTTCACGGGACAACATTGCTGTCAAACATATATGACATAGTCTGTGTAGGCTGTAGTGGGTTAGACTATATGAGGTACAACACTGCTAGGTTTTCCTACTTGTACCCATCTCCTTGCTAGTTCAGTCATTCCTTGTTCAGTAATTCTCGCATGGTTTCAGAGCAGGTTCCCTAGTGGGACCGGTTTTTTTTAGGGCCCACCACAAACTTTTTTTTTGATTTCGGCCCTGCCCTAATTGCATTGTCGTGCCTGCCTGCCCTGTCACGGGCCATGCGTCTGACTACCCGCGCCCTCGAGCGCCTGCCTACCCGCGCCCTCGAGCGCCTGCCTACCCGCGCCCTCGAGCACCTGCCTACCCGCGCCCTTGAGCGCCTGCCTACCCGCGCCCCAGACCTCTGGAGCAGCCGCCCCTGGCCTCTGGAGCAGCAGCCACTACAGCAGCCACCCGTGGCCCCTGGAGCAGCTGCTCCTGCAGCAGCCGCCCCTGGCCCCTAGAGCAGCTGTCCCTGCCCTACACCCGCGCAGCCGCCCCTGGACCCCGCGTCGCGGCCCTTGGACCCCGCGACGCGTCGCCCTACCTCTGCCTTGTCGCGACGCCCCTGCGGGACCCGCGCGTCACCCCTTGCCTCGTCGCAACGCCCCTGCGGGACCCGCGCGTCGCCCCCGCCTCGTCGCGACGCCCTTGCGAGACCCGCGAGGCGCGGATCCTGCGCGTCGCGCCGCCCCAACGGGCCCAGGGCGTCGCCCCCACTCGTCGCGACACCCCTGCGGGACCCGCGCGGTGTCGCCCCTGCCCGCCGCGGCGCCCTGCCCTACCGCGCGCCCGCCCTTTGGACGGCCGCCCCTGCACCGCCCTGCAGCAGCTGCCGTCGCGGCCCTGCCCCGCCCTACAGCAGCGGCCGTCGCGGACTGCAAAGCCCTACAGCAGCTCCCTTCGCGGCCCGGCCCCGCCCTGCACCAGCTGCTGCGGAGCTCCCTGGCGCGGTCGCGGCCCCGCCGTCGCCGCCGTCGTGCGCCTGCCCTTCCCTCCACTGGTGAGCACTGCCCTGCCCGCGCTGCTACCGCTACTACTGCCGCTACTGCAGTTATTACTGTTACTGCTGCTACTGCTGCTACTGCTGCTCCTAGCGTGGCCAGATGCAGCTCTAGGGCCGTCCGCGTGAGTCCCTCACGCCCCAGCAGCTTCGTGAGTAGTACGCTAGTTGGGGTTGTTGGGGTGGCCATAGTGGGAGTCGCCCTGGAGTGGGTAGTTCGGGAGCTTTTGGTAGTGGCCAGGTGCAACTTCAGCGTCGTCCAAGTGAGGCTCTTTCACCCCAGCAGCTTCGTGAGTGGTACGCTCAGAGTAGAGGGTCGCTGAGTACTACTCGCTGCCTGTAAGTCATTCGCACGGGTGTCCGGACTGGTCAGCCTTGCGGGACGGTTAGTCACACAGAGTCCCCGCTGCTTCGCCCGTCTGAGCGACGATTTGCGTACAGAGTTTGGCGACAACGCTGAGCTTCCCGACTGGGTGGAGCTGCTTAGGCAGAGGGTAGATATCTTTGCTCTTGACTATGATGCTATCCTCACTGCCATGTATACATTGTCTACTAGTGATGAGGGTGTCTGTCACCTGTGTGTGCCGCCTGACCCCGGTATCCAGTCTGCTGCTCTAGGTGCTGGTGAGTCTGCTGCTCTAGATGTTGGTGCGTCTCCTGCTCCAGGTGCCGGTGAGGCTGCTGCTCTAGGTGCTTGTGCGTCTTCTACTCCAGGTGTTGGTGAGGCTACTGCTCTAGGCGCTGGTGAGTCTATTGCTCCAGGTAGTGGTGAGTCTGCTCTATCTGGTGCGGTGCCTGCTGCGGTCTTGCACACCTTCAACCTTGACTCAAGTGCTTCCCGCTCCTTCTTTCAAGACCGCACCACACTCACGCCGCTTAGTCGGCCGGTTGCAGTCTCCCTGGCAGACTCCTCTGGGGGTCCTGTCCTTGCCCACTACTCTACTGTCCTACCGTGTCCGGCGGCCCCGTCTGGCTTCCTGTCAGGTCTTTACCTCCCCTCATTCTCCACGAACTTGGTGAGTGGTGCTAACCTGCAGGATGGGGGGGTTGACCAGTTCACTCCCACGAGTCAGCGAGTGACCCACTACACGTGTGCTCAGATGGGCCGACACTTGGCCACGTTTACCCGTAAGCCGGGGTCGAGCCTCTACACACTGGCTACTGAGTCTCCTCCGGTTACTTTGTCTGGTCAGGTAGCTGCGTCGGGTCAGGTGTTTGCTGCAGCGTCCACGTCTGGTCCTGAGTCTGCCCCCTGCTCGTGTCGTCTCACCATACTCTCCTCTGGCACAACCCCCTTGGTCACCCCTCCCTGCCTCGTCTTTGAGGCATGGCCTCCTGTGTCCTTGTCTCTGGTCTCCCCCGGTCCCTCCCTCCCCTTCCTCCGGAGCCTGCCCCTACCTGCGTTCACTGCGTCGAGGGGCGGCAGCGCCGCCCCTCACTCCTCCGAGTTTCCTCCGACAGAGGCTCCGCTGCAGACTCTCCACATGGACGTGTGGGGTCCATCCCGAGTCTGTGGACAGGGTCACGAGCATTACTTCCTGCTGGTGGTTGACGACTACTCGCGTTACACCACAGTCTTCCCCTTGCACAGCAAAGGTGAGGTCACTGAGGTGTTGATCGACTGGATCCGCGCTGCCCGTCTCCAGCTCAGAGAGAGTTTCGGCTCGGACTTTCCTGTTCTGCGTCTGCACTCCAACAGAGGTGGAGAGTTTTCCTCTGACCCTCTGCGAGCCTTCTGTCGTGCACGAGGCATCCGCCAGACGTTCACGCTTCCGGCCTCTCCACAGCAAAATGGGATTGCTGAGCGCCGCATTGGCATGGTCATGGACGTCGCTCGTACGTCCATGATCCATGCGGCTGCTCCCCATTTTCTGTGGCCGTTTGCGGTTCAGTACGCGGCACATCAGATCAACCTTCAGCCCCGGGTCTCCACGCAGGAGACCTCCCCTGCTCTGCGGTGGACGGGAAAGGTTGGCGATGCGTCTGCGTTCCGTGTCTGGGGATCTCAAGCTTTCATCCGCGACTTGTCTGCGGACAAGCTGTCCCCCCGTGCTGTTCCCTGCGTCTTCCTTGGCTTCCCCCCTGACGCGCCTGGTTGGCAGTTTTACCACCCCACCTCGCGCCGTGTTCTGTCCTCTCAGGACGTTACGTTTGACGAGTCCGTTCCCTACTACCATCTCTTCCCCTACCGCACTGCTCCCCTTCCCCCCCCCCCCCCCGCCGCTCTTCCTCGCGCCAGAATTCCTCCCCCCTCAGGTGTGTTCCAGGTAGACGCAGTCGAGCTTGTCGAGGTAGCTTTTGACCCTGGTGCTGCTAGGGGTGCTGAGCCTGCGGGTACTGGGTCTGGGGGTGCTGAGCTTGAGCGTGCGGAGCCTGGGGGTGCTGGGTCTGGCGGTACTGAGCCTGGGGGTGCTGAGTCTGGTGGTGCTGAGTCTGGTGGTGCGGAGCCTGAGGGTGCTGGGCCTCCTCATGTGGAGTCTGGTGGTGTTGGACCTGGAGGTCCTTTGGGTGCTTCGTCCCGGCGGGAGCTACTCTCTCCGCAAGAGCTGCGCGAGTGGTTTGCTTGGCGCTGGAGCCGTGCTGCTAGAGCTGGTGGTGCTTTCGGCGCTGGAGGTTCTGCTCCTGGGGCTGCTGGAGGTTCTGCTGCTGAGGCTGCTACAGGTTCTAGAGCCACGGGTTCCGGAGGTGCTCGTACTGGAGGTACTGGAGATGCTGGGCCTGGTGGTGCTACTGGTACTGGAGCTGCTGGCGGTGCTGCTGGAGTAGGTGCTACTGGAGGTACTAGAGCTGGAGCTGCTTCATCTTTCGGTGATCCTACTGGAGCTGCAGCTACTGTAGGTGCTGGAGCTGGAGGTGCTACTGGAGCCGGTACTCCTGTTGGTGCTGGAGTTGGCGCTACTGGAGCAGCTGGTGGTGCTGCTGGTGCTGTTGGAGCTGACGCTCGGGGTGCTGGTGCTGTCCCTGCAAAATCTAGAGGTGCTGCGCAGCCGCAGCCGTACTTCGTTCCGCTCCATCAGCAGGTTCTTGGTCTCCCACCTTCTACTGGTCCTGCTCCTTCCTTAGAGTGTCCACCACCTGTCCAGTCCGAGTCACGGTTACAGCTGGCCTCCCCACTGCCTGCTCCTTCCCCCTACACTAGTCCTACTAGAGGTCTTGCTGAGCGTCATGAGCCTCAGTCTCGTCCTGCGTCGCCTGTTCGTGCTGCTCGCATTGGTCGTCGTGTTCCGCGTCAGCGTCCTCCTGCGGTCCCAGGCACGCACCAGATGGCACTGCGTCCTTCCACTGCTCCACTGCGTTTCCCTTTGCCGTCTCCACGAGAGTCCTCTCTTCCTGCTCTTGCTGACCCGGAGTCTGACTCCCTTCGTGCTGCTAGTCCTACTGTCATGCGTCTCCTCGCTACTATTGTCACTGACCCTTCCTTTGAGTCCACTGCTGCGTCTGCCTTAGTTGTTGAGCTTGTCGACTTCGCTGCTCACTGTCGTCTAGACTACGCCGCTAGTCTTGTTGCTAAGTCTGAGTCTGTCTGTCCTCCATCCGTCGAGGGTGAGAGTGCTCTTAGCACGGACGTCGTTGAGTACAGGCAGGAGGAGTTCCAGTGTTTTGCGGCTGCTTTACCTCATCTCGTGTCCATGCTGCTTGCCCCTGAGGGAGACCCGGATGCACCAGACATCCCGACCCCGCACTCTTACGCAGAGGCGATAGAGGGTCCCTACTCCTCTCACTGTCAGACAGCCATGGACACAGAGATGGCTTCGTGGAAGTCCACAGGCACCTACGTCGACGAGGTTCCCCCACCAGGGGCGAACATCGTCAGTGGCATGTGGATTTTCAGGGTGAAGCGGCCACCGGGTTCTCCGCCTGATTTCAAGGCGCGTTATGTGGCTTGAGGCTTCAGTCACCGGCACGGAGTTGACTAATTTCAGACCTTCTCTCCGGGTTCTGCTGCACATAGCCGCTCAGCGTGACTACGAGCTTCACTCTCCTGACTTCAGCACTGCTTTCCTACAGGGCAGCTTGCACGAGGAGTTCTGGTTGCGCCGCCCACCTGGCTTCACTGGGTCGTTTCCTCCTGGTACCTAGTGGAGCCTTCGGCGGCAAGTCTACGGTCTCCGCCAGGCACCCCAGGAGTGGCGCGACACACTGAGGACTACGCTTGCGGCTCTTCGGTTTGCTCCTTCTACTGCTGACCCGTCGCTGTTTCTACGCACCGACACCTCGCTGCCGCCGTTGTACACCCTCGTGTACGTCGACGACTTGGTCTTTGCTACTGCTGACACTGCTAGACTCGCCCACATGAAGTCCGAGCTGCAGAAGAGACTCACGTGCACAGATCTGGGTGAACTGCGCAGCTATGGCTTGCAGATCAACCGGGACAGAGCACGGCGCACCATTACCCTGACTCAATCACACATGGTGCAGCAGGTCCTTCAGCGCTTCGACTTCACGTACTCCTCGCCTCAGGCCACTCCTCTGTCTCCTCGCCACTTGCTCTCAGCTATGCCTTCGGATGAGTCCGTAGAGCCGAGTGGCCCGTACCTAGAGCTTGTTGGATGCCTCATGTACCTGATGACCTGCACTCGACCTGACCTAGCATACCCTTTTAGCATGTTGGCACGCTATGTTGCTCCTGGGAGACACCGACCAGAGCACATGGTTGCAGCGAAGAGGGTGTTGCGCTACCTGTGCAATACGTCGGGCATGGGGCTCATGCTTGGAGGGTGGAGTTCAGTGGTCCTCACTGGTCACACAGACGCGTCTTGGGTTGACGATTTGGCTACGCAGCGGTCGTCACAGGGTTACATCTTCAGCCTTGGTTGTGGCTCTTTTTCGTGGCGGTCTATCTGCTCGTCTTCCGTTCTCAGCTCCAGCTATGAGGCTGAGATCTACGCAATGGCCATGGCTGCACAGGAGTTACGCTAGCTCACCTACCTGCTGACTGACTTGGGAGAGCCACCTCGTTCTCCTTCAGTTTTGTACGTAGACAACAAGGCCATGCTGGCCTTGTGTCGGGAGCACAGACTGGAGCACAGAACGAAGCACATTGCTCTTCGCTACTTCCTTGCTCGTGAGCTGCAGCAGCGTGGTCAGCTGCGCCTTGCTTACGTGGCCTCTCGGGCCAACGCTGCTGATATCTTTACTAAGGCACTTGAGCCGTGTGATCATCAGCGTTTTTGTACGATGCTAGGTCTTGTGCCTACTTGGCCTCACTTGCTCACTTCTTGACTTTGCTTGTACTGTTATCTATATATACCTGCACTTGCATGCTTACCCTTGCTAGGTTTGGTCAATGTCTTGCTTGTTCACCTTGATATATAACTCTGCATGTGAACTGGCCTTGTGCTTGTGCTCAGATTGTGTGGTGACGTTGTGATCCACCCTGAGCTTGCCTTGCTTTGCTTGAGTGGTCTTATGACCTCTTGTTCTCCCCTGTCAGAATGTTATCTTATGCTCTAGCGTGTAGTGGGGTGCTCTATAGCGAGTACAACCCATCTAGGGTTTGCTATTTGTATCCACATTCTTGCTAGTGTAGCCCTCTTCTTTCTTCTTAACTTTCACATGCTATCAGAGCAGGTCGATCCTTTTGGATCGATCCTGTGGGTGGGCTCACCACCTCGTTGCTTCCGCTGCAGCTACCACTGCTACTCTCTGTGCCGCACGCCCCGTGGCGTGCGGCAGTTTTTTTCTTCCCGCCGTGCGCCCCGAGGCGCGCGGCGGTTCTCTGCCCGCCGTGCGCCCCGAGGCGCGCGGCGGTTTTCTGCCCGCCGTGCGCCCCAAGGCGCGCGGCGATTTTCTGCCCGCCGTGCGCCCCGAGGCGCGCGGCGGTTTTCTGCCCGCCGTGCGCCCCGAGGCACGCGGCGGTTTTCTGCCCGCCGTGCGCCCCGAGGCGCGCGACGGGTTTCTGCCCCGTCACTCGGCGCGTCGCCTCCGGGAGGCGCTGCGACGGGCGACGGGGACCCGCGCGTCGCACCCCGTCGCCCTACCTACGGCCCCGGCCCCGTCGCCCTACCTGCGCCCCGGCCCCGTCGCCCCTACCTGCGTAACGGCCCCGTCACCCTACCTATGGCACGTGCACCCCCCCCCCCCCCCCCCTTTTCTCGTCGCCCGTCGCGGCTCCTTCGGGGGCCGCCTGAGGGGTGGCGAGTATGGGGGTGGCAGTTGTGCATTCCTCCCTTTGCTCCTCCTCCTCCTTCGTCTCCCACTGCTGCAGTTGTCGCTGAGAGGGGTGGATGAGTGGGAGACTGGGGTTCAGGGTTTAAGGGGGGTGAAGGGGGAGTGGAGCTAGCGGTGTAGCAGCGGGTGTGTGCCAGGGGGGAGTGGGATAGTTTGGGGAAGCTGAATGGAGGTTGCCGTCGTGTCGCTAGCAGCACCTGTATTCCGGGGACTTCGTCCGGTAGCCCAGTCGTAGCCAGCTGTGCCAGCCGCCCGTGGGTCCGCCGCTACTTTAGCCGCGGGGCCAGTTACTCCAGTATTCCGGAGCGTTGTTCCGGTAGCCGCTGTGCCAGTGTGCCTCCTGTTGCCTGTGTGTCTGCAGCTTCATCCGTCGCCTCCTATCTCCTCTCCTCTCACTCTCTCTCCTCCTCCTCACTTGCCCGTTGTGACTACCACTAGCTTTGCTCATAATTGTGAACTTTAAACTATTGCTTCTTGAACTTGTGCTCAGAATGTGTGGTGACATTGTGATCCACCCTGAGCTTGTACTGCTTTGCTTGCTCTGCTGATTACACCCCACTTTGGCTATGGGGGTGTGTCAGAATGTTATCTTATGCTCTAGCCTGTAGTGGGGTGCTCTATAGCGAGTATAACCCTTCTAGGGTTTCCTATTTGTATCCTCATTCTTGCTAGTGCAGCCCTCTTTCTCTCTTCAATCTTTCACATCCCCCACTTTGCCTATGGGGGTGTGTCAAACATATATGACATAGTCTATGTAGGCTGTAGTGGGGTAGACTATATGGGTTACAATACTGCTAGGTTTTCCTACTTGTACCCATCTCCTTGCTAGTTCAGACATTCCTTGTTCAGTAACTCTCACAATTGCACCCTACGAATAAAAGGATTACTACACAAAAAAAACCCTTCTCCAACATAGTAAGGGCCCACCAACCTCTTTTTTTTTTGGGCGAGCCTTTCTGTTCCCTGTACAGTGCCCTGGGACATGCGAATTTGAGGCCAAATGTGCCTCTCTCTTGTGGCGTTTTTTCCCATCCCCCCCCTCCAATCTGCGCCAGCTCCCCCATGGCGCAGGTTTTCCACGGAGTAGTCAATCCAGGGTCAAAATTCGTTGACCTTGGTTTGACGCGCGCCTCATGTACCCATTACCTTCCTGAAATTTTGCTTCTCTCCGGCTGCCGAACTGGGCCCATGCAACTTCGAAAAGCCGATTCATGCGCGCATCCATCAAATTCAAAAAAATCGTTGCAACCTCATTGGCCAATCAGTTTGGCACCTCTGAAATTCAGCGACATCTAATTTCCTAAAATTCAGAATTTTGAAATTCGTCAAGAAATTTAATGTCCAATTTCCTGACCTCCATTCAATTTTGCCAAATATTCCAAGCCACAATTTGAAATGTCCAAACCTCAATTTAGCAATTTCCATTTCGCCATTTCGGAACCTTGGTTTTTCAATGTGGGCATCAGTCCGAGCCTCCGGCGCATCAGAGCTGATGCGCCTGTGTTAGAGGTCTATTGGTGATCCCCGATTGATCATAGGGAAGGGTTACATGCATGTTGGCCTGGGGGGTTATGGGCGCATTGACCCGCTACGTAACAAGCCCTTTTATCCCAATGGTCTAGTGGTTGGGATTTTGACATGTTATCAGAGCAAAGGTTATCGGGTTCGAATCCCACTGTGTGCACTTCGGGCATCCCAGTGCAGGAGGGTGTCAGAGGTCTATTGGTGATCCCCGATTGATCATAGGGAAGGGTTTCAGACATGTTGGCCTGGGGGGTTATGGGTGTCAGAATATCATGCTTGTCTAGCGTGCAGTGGGGTACTCTATAGCAAGTACAACCCAATTAGGGTTTCCTATATGTATCTCAACTGCTGCTAGTGCAAACCCTCCTTTCTCATTGTAACTTTTCTAGCTGTATCTTGACATGGTGTCAGAGCAGGTCGACCCTCCCTGGTTGATCCTATGGATGGGCCCACCCAATGCTTCCGCTGCTATACTGCCTGTCGCGCGCCCCGGGCGCGCGACGTCTTCTCCTTGTCGCGCGCTCGTGGCGTGCAGCGTCTTTTCTTCCCGCCGCGCGCCGTCGTGGCTCTGCCCTGCCCGTCGCGCCGCCCTGCTGGCCGCGCGACGCCCTGCCCTGCCCATCGCACGCCCCGTGGCATGTGGCGGTTTTCTGCCCGCCGTGCGTCCCAAGGCGCGCGGTGGTTTCCTACCCCGTCGACCCGCGCACCGCTCCCCCCCCCCTTCCGTCGCCTCGTCGGGGCGCCCTGGGGGCCTGCGCGCTGTCCCCTCCCGTCGCCTCGTCGCGGCGCCTCAGGGGCCCGCGCGCTGCCCCCCCTCCCGTCGCCTCGTCGCGGTGCCTTGGGGGCTCGCGCGTCGCCCCCCTCCCATTGCCTCGTCGCGGCACCCTGGGGGCCCGCGCGCCGCCCCTTTCCGTCGCCTCATCGCGGCACCTTGGGGGCCCGCGCTTCCCCCCCTCCCGTCGCCTCGTCGCGGCGCCCTGGGGACCCGCGCGTCGCCCCTCTCCCGTCGCCTGTCGTGGCGCCCTCGAGGGCCCGCGCGCGGCCCCTCCTCCCGTCTCCCGTCGTGGCGCCCTCGGGGTCCCGCGCGCCGCCCCTCCTGCAGCTCGCGAACCGCCGCTGCAGCCCGCGAACCGCCTCTGCAGCCCGCGAGCCGCCCCTGCCGCCTCCTGCCCTTGTGCAACTGCGGGGTGGCGGGTATGGGGGTGGCGGGTGTGTGAACCGTCCCCTGCTCCTCCTCCTCCTCCGTCTCCCACTGCTGCAGCTGCCGCTGAGGGGGGTGGGTGTGTGGGAGCCGAGGGAGTTGTGCTAGGGGGGTGACGTGGGAGTGGAGCTAGGGGTGCAGCAAGGGGTGTGTGAAAGGGGGGTGGGACAGTTGAGGGAGGTTGAGCGGAGGCTGCCGTCTTGTCGTCCGCAGCACCTGTAGTCTGGGGCTCTGCCGCTGGTAGCTCAGAGAGCCTGCTGCGCCTGTCGCCCGTGGGTCCGTTGCTCCTGCCGCTCAGAGTTAGCCGCAGAGCCAGTTACTGCTCTAGTCCGGGGCCCTTGCTCCGGTAGCCACCGTGCGCGCCGCTCCTGTTGCCCGTGTGTCTGTAGCTTCAGCCGTCGCCTCCTATCTCCTCTCCTCCCACTGTCCAGCCTCCTCCTCCTCACTTGCCCTTTGTGAATGCTTCTAGCTTTGCTTGTACTGGTGAACCTTCTCTATGATTGCTTGCTGTACTGATTATTGTCAGAATGTGATGTTGGTGTAGCCTGCAGTGGGGTACTCTATAGCGAGTACAGCCCGAATTAGGGTTTGCTATATGTACTCAACGGCATGCTAGTGAAAAACCTCTTTCCTGTTTCTGATTCTTGCCTAGCCTTTCAACATGCTATCAGAGCAGGTCGACCTCCTGGGTTGATCCTGTGGGTGGGCCCCACCCGATGCTTCCGCTGCTCTACTGCTTGTAGCGCGCCCCGGGCGCGTGCCGTTTCATGCCTGCCGCGCGCTCAGGGCGCGCAGCGATTTTTCTTCCCGCCGCGCGCTCGGGGCGCGCGGCGGTTTTCTGCCCCGTCGAACCGCGCGTCGCCTCCTGTCGACCGTCGCGTCGCCCCCCGTCGCCCGACGCGGCCCGCGCGCGGCCCGTATGGGCTGTGCCAGGCCCGCGCGCGACTCGTACGGGCTGCGCCAGGCCCGCGCGCGGCCCGTACGGGCTACGCCAGGCCCGCGCGCGGCCCGGGCAGCCCGCGTG